AATGTCACCTTTATCATCTCCCTTGCCATGCCTCCTGCAGGCATGAATAACACACAGTTGGCTTCTTTGATGACCCATGCACTCTAAATCAATATTTGAAGATAGCTGTTTGGCAGTTTTCGTACATGAAAATGTTGTACATTCCAACATATGCCGCTTTGTGCCTGAATGGCACACACTCAGCCATTTTACATAAAGGATCTCCACGTCGCTATTTCTTGGCCTTCTCCTCTCAGACGACTTCGTAGGGGACTGCGATATGGGCAAACACAAGCAAAGGGGTATCCATTCATTCTCCAACATTCACTCAGAATACCTAAATGGCAGTTCCAAACCAACCTTCAGACATAGCACACAGAGGATGGACTGACTGCAACCATAACACTAAATACATTCCACTCCAGCCCTAACCCTTCACCGACAAAAACAGTAACGCAGAAAAAAACATTTTTTACATACTCCCATAGACAAAAAAAAATGTTTTTACATACTCCCATAGAAAAGTGACAAATCATGTCCTTGGAGAAACAATCACACGAACTTCACATTTAATCTCCATCCCCTATATCCCATTTTGGTAAGCATGGCTTGGGATCATGCAAGCCCGCTCATCATAGCCTGCCCTGCCACAATTTTGGCATACTCTGGGCAGTTCTGGACACCTCATTGGCAGTAAAGCCTCCAAGACCTTACTGTCAATCTGTCCTCCAACTCTACTATACATATTCGAAATCCTTTTGTGTAAATTTCTGGTCCAACAACACATATATACTTGTACCAGTGATAAAACCACAGCAAGAATGAGTAATACCACAATCGGATGGATTAAATAATTCAAAACCCCCTTGGCCTTACTGGAATAACCAAATAAAGGTTCCCACCAATAACTGCTAGCATCCTTTTCCAGTAGATGATCCACTTGCCTTATTTTGTTCTGATCATGGTATATGACTATGGCAGGTTTTCATCTTTATCCCAGTCAACCAATCCTGCAGTTTTCTTCCCATACCCAGGGCCCAAAGGCTAACAGGCCTGTTGTACTTGATCTCTTCGGACAGATGGGTTACCGATGGTATTACATAATTCCATGTTTGCGTCTCGATCTCGGAGACATTGCCTAGGGTACACCACGCACTTCTCTCTACCACCAAGTCTAAGGAACACCCCTGTTCCATAACCAAGGTGATATTGCTATCCTTTAGGATAAAGAAGCACACTCTTCTATGTCCTAAATAATACACTGGTGCCTTAGTCCTTTCAATGATCTCCCCATCCAGAACACAAACAGAAGCATCTTCCCAACACTTTTCATCTACCATTTCATATTGACCTGGCATACACAGGACATTATGATCACGTTGCAGACAGGTCGACTTCATTAATAACACCCATCCCTGCTCCTATTCCCCCCAGTATAGTGCTGACTACATCTCTCCTGTCATGGTTATTCTCCAGAAGTAATCTTCCTGAATGGAGACCCATACGCTTCTGTGTATTTCTCGGAGTAGGCCAGTGGCATAATGACCAAACCTGATTCTGCGTATATTCAGCACATATTGGGTAATAGGTCTTTATCAACCATTGAGAGATGTTAAAGTGCCATGTGGTGAAAGCATATTGAACATTTGTAGCTAGTGTCTGAGAAGAGCTTAGATCTATTTGGAATGGTTGTCCTTTTTCCAACCGAGTATGTTTTTGTGAGGAGCCATTGGCACCACCTGTGCATGGTTATAAATGTTCAAGTGAAATATCAACGAGGTGTATCTCTCCTATGTCCAGATCAGGTGTCCCACAGGTCCAGTGACCTATAGCCTCCCTGTATGACTTATAACCTTGAGATACCGCACCAACCAGGAAATTGTCTCCTCGCTGAAGTTTCATCTGAACTTCTCTAGCTGTACCCACAGCTCTCTTGCTTGCTGAAGAGTCAGAACCCTAGGTACTTGCATTATATTCACTCGGCTGTTCCAATATATGCCACACACAAAAACATACTTCCCTTCTTTTAAATTCTCATTGAAAACTCCATAGCCCGTTGGTGATGAGTTGGATAGATTAGACTCCGCCGCTAACCAATAACCCGTTGTATATAGTTGCATCCACAAACGTTTGGAAAGATCCCGGTATTATGCTTTGCAAGCCCTGCTTATCTACACTTCTCCCTACTGTTACATTAGGGTTAACTCGTCCAAAAGCAAAAGTCACTTTATACAGCACGTTTCCTTGGCGACCCCATTGATAGGTTTCCGGTAGCCTAGGACCTTCCACTATAAACCTAACCTTCCTTTTCCTGCTATCATTCTTCCCTTGCTTTCCCTCCAGATCTACTAACTCCATGATTGACTTGCCAATCTCTCGCTCCAATAGGACTCTGAAAAAAAAAAAGAACGAGCGGAATCAAATTCTTATCAGCAGTATCTTTTACACTGAATTTTCTCTTTAGGTGCCAAGTATTTTGCAGCAAAGTGCAAATACCTCTGTACCTGTTCCTACAACTGGACCAAAAACTTGTCCCTTTCTGCACTTTCCCTAAGTGGGGTACTAAGTGTTGGGATGGCTAATGTTCATCATCCTCCCCGTCATTAACTGGTATGGGGTTAATGATGTACCTTTTGCCGTGGATCCCCCTTATAGCCATCAGGATTGAAGGCAGGTGGGTCAGCCAATTCTTTCCTGACTGCAATACCATCTTCTTTAGTCTCTCTTTCAGTGTCCGGTTCATCCTCTCCTCGTTGCCCGAAGACTGGGGGCGGTATGGTACATGGAACCTTTGCTCTACTCCCAGCAGTTCACAGATGACTCTGCCTGTGAAGTGACTCCCCCTATCTGATTCCAGGATTCTGGGGAACCCCCATCTTGACAACACCTTGGTCCACATAGCTTTTGCTGTGGCTGCAGCTGAATCTTTTCTCAGAGGTAGAGCTTCCACCGACTTTGAAAAAACATCAACTACCACCAACAGATACCTGTACCCCCCAGGGGCACTGGGTAATGGACCCATAAAGTCAATCTGCAGGTTCTCCCAGGGTCCTTCAGCAAAGGTACTCTTGCAAAAACAGGTCTCTGTCCTTTGGGTCTGGGGTTCATTTGCACACAAATTAAACATTCCTGCACCACCTGTGACACTGACATTCATCTTTTCCCACCAGTATTTGGCCTGGACAGTTTCCAATGTACCTTGTACACCCATGTGGCCTGTCAGTCTATGCTTTTCCCTGACAAGTCTCTTTGATGTTGTACGGGCACAACAAATCTTAGCCCTTCATCAGTCTCTCTTAGCAAGAGACTATCCTGTAGCGCATAATTTTGGGGAGCATCTGCCGCTTTTTCTCTAAGCTGCCTTTTGATGTTTTTCAAGGTTTCATCCTTGTCTTGCTCCGCTGCTAAGCATGGGGTAGTTCCCATATATCTCTGAGCACTGAACTATGTACCAGGGCTTTTCCAGAGGCATCACTGAAACCTCTTGTGTGCCACAAAGGCATATACTCTGTTAGGGACATAGGCACTGTCAGTGAAGATGGTTACTGGGCCTGAGCTGAAGTGTATAATGGCCTCTCTCACTGCTTCCAGTTCAGCTTTTTGGGCAGAAAAACTTCGAGGGCATTTAATTAGGATCTGCTCATTGGTCTGGGGACACCATAGGGCATATCCTGTGTGGAAGCTTCCTCCCTCCCAATACCTGGATCCATCCACCCAGATTTTAAGGTCTTCCTTACCTGCCGTTAGCCTACACACCTCCTGTGATCTAGCCCTATGGACTTCTCCACAGTCATGCTGTTCTCCCTCATAATGCATTAGTTGTTGGAGAATGTATCACACCCAAAAAACACACTGAATCCTTTATTAACTGAGCCTTTTTTGGGTTCAGCTTAAGACCCGCATTTCTAATCGGTGTCAGGAGCTCATTCAACAGGGCATAGTGCTGTTCTTTCATTTCAGTTTGCAAAAGAACATCATCCACATACTGAATGATACAGTCTGGCTCCGAAAACGGCTTCAGAATGTCAACCATACAGATGTGGAAGTATGTTGAACTGGATTTGAACCCCTGTGGCAACCTGCAAAATGTGTATTGTTTTCCCTGAAATGTGAAGGCAAATTTGTATTGGCTATCCTCATGTATGGGAATTGAAAAATAGCCATTTGATATATCGATCGATGAATAAACTTTAGCAGAGGGCTTAAGCGCTGTCATCATATCTGGCATTTTAGCGACTACATTTGTAATAGATGCGGTACATTTGTTCAGCGCACGGAAATCTATAGTGGGCCTCCAGCCCCCCTCCTTTTTTACTGGCCAGAGGGCTGCGTTTGTTTTTGACTGGCATTCTTTAGTGACGTTTTGGGCCAATACATTTTCCACTGTACGTTCTATGCATGGGATCGACTCGGGTAGAATTTTATATTGCTTTTGCGGTGGGGGATCTGGTCCCTCAATTTTAACAATCATGTTTGATACTTTGCCGCATTGAGCCTTAGATGTTGCTCACACTTTCTCATGTTGCCCCAAAATTTCAGCCAGTAGCTGGTCACCTGTTTGTAATAATGCCTGTGGATCAAGGATGTCATCAGTCTTAACTGATGCAATTTCACAACTGTCCATAATCATGTGTACCTTTCCTTTTGTACCTAGACCCTTTCCACAGCACCCAATTACAGAGATCTACAATAAGCCCATGTGCCCTCATCAAATCAGAGCCCAAAATAGTACCTTCATGCGTCAGGGAAAGAAACAGAGTGTGTTCCACACATAACCTCCCGATGTCAATTGGCACAGGTACTGATTCCTCAGAGTGTACTAGCTGTCCGCCAAAAGCTCTTATGAAATTTTGTTTGCCAGTAGGATTCTTCTCTAGGTTGATATTAGTCAAACAGACGGCTGCTCCCGTATCCAAAAGTATGTTTGTGCGATGGCCCCCTACCGCCCCCTGGATACGTGGTCTGCCTCCTTTGTCCCCTTGAAGATGACATACTAGGGACAAAACCGGAGTCTGACATCCCTATGCTTTACAATAAGGATTGGTTGGAGGTGGGATTCTAAATTCATCCGGGATGTTTGTCACCCGTTTTTCTATATTTTGTAGTTCTTTTAAAAGAGAACCATATAGTGTAACATCAGGTACTTTGTTCTGTCCTGCTGTCATCTTATCTGATCCCGGTTTCTGCTGTTCTTTCCTATAAGGAACCTTTTTATCTCCTGCGGATCTTCTAGCCATTTTACAGTCTTTCATTAAATGTCCTGTATTTCCACACCTATAGCATCTACCTCCAAATCTAGCCTTTGCCTCATTCCTAATAATTTCAGAGATTCTCCTGTGAGGCCTATTGTCTTGATTGGTCTCCTGAATCCAATCTCTTAATATATTTATAAACGTTTGATATGTACTGGCATTCCTCAGTGAAATTTTCGTATGGCAATCCACAAACGTGCATTTATTAGCCATAGAGTACAAAAAACTGCTGTCATCAGGAGACATATCAGGACAACTGTATGTGGCCCTATACAGGGACAAGTACTCACTACAAAACAGGACTGGGTCATCACCCCTCCCAAATTTGGCATTTTCTAGGGCATTTGTACCTCTAGTATCCCTTCCCCCCATTATGCGTTGCAGTTCCTTCATTCTATCCGCTGAGTTTCCCCAATTTGAGTTAATCTCAGGAGATAGACCTTTGTGAATACTGACTGGCGGCTGCAGTTTTTCACACAGCTGCAATGGGAGCCATGCACGAAGGAGTGCACAAGCATCCCTATTGCCCAAATTATACTGCATCACTACAGCTTCCAATCTGTTAGAGAGGCTTATGGGTGAAGCACTAGTGTCAAATTTCCCCAATATCTGGCACAGATTTGTACGATCCTGTATAGAGAGTGCTGTGGATTGGGTGTTAGTGCTACTACGCAAAGTTTCTAGTCTTTGCCCAATCCTTTGTGACTCAGGAGTGAAAAGAAATGTACTGGGGTTAGGAGATGCTTCAGGGTCATCAGCAGAATACACTGGATGCTCCTCTGCCGCCATTATGTCTCTTCGCTCCTGTGCCCCACAGGTATTAGTACAACAATGGTTGTACCCTTTGCCCATAGACTGTGATTTTAAAGACAAACTGAAAGTTGTCTAACTAGTACCTTCACACCAGTTAATGACACTGAATACGCAATTACAAGCAGTTACAGACAGATACACACACACACACAGACACACACACACAGACACACACACAAACAAACACACACAGCTGTTCCAAGTTAACCTGGACCTTATAGTCCACCAAGGAGATATTCACGTCTCCTTATCACAACTGACTGTTACCCCCACACATTAATCCTTACTAGGACTACAGATCTTAGCCCAGAGGGATCTCCTATTGGAGCAGAAAGCTACTTCCCTTTCACGTGAAAAAAAACAATATATTTTCCAACTTTCTCCTCAAAGATGTCTGGTTCTATCCTATAGATCTACAGGGTACATCAGTGAACAAAGGGTGATCAGCCCTTTACTGCCGGCACAAACTGAACAGCTAAACAGGCCTACAACTTATGCAATACAACAAAAACAATATGTAACACATACACCAGCCCAAGATAAGAAACTTTTACTCACCAGATATGCGCGTCTGCTCACTGATGGAGTGCACTGAACAGGATTCCAAACTCACGACCAACGCGACTCTCGTCCACTGTAGAGATGGATGTCTTCAGGTCTGTGTCTCAAGACAAAATAAATTAGGGATTGGGTTCTACGTAGAATGTTCTACGTTCCTGCTTCTGGGGTGCCAAATGTAATATCTAAATTGCCATGGCTTCCTGAAATAAGCTAACTTGCTATTCTCTGCTTCCAATGATGATAACGATACAATGGTTAAAAGAAGATATGGTCTTATTTATTTATACATAAGTCTAACTAAACATAATAAAAGATACAAACAGATACAAAAGTACAATAAGACAATCAAGAGAATACTTTACACAGCAAGTCCGTCCTCTGGTTCCTATATCCTGGCTGGGCTCAAAGAGAGAGAGCAATATTCCTGTGCACAGACTTTTATAGTAAACTGGACCCATTCATACACATATATCGACACCCCTTTACCCAGAATTTCGCATGTCCCTCCAGCAGGGGGCACCATCGTACTGCAGATCATTCCTTGGCCTTTGATCTTTAGACAATGGACAGTCACCTTCATATGCAAAGCCGGATATCTTGAGGGTGTCTTCCCAATGCCCATACACCCCTATCAACACCACAGGGTGCAAAGCTTGATGTCCTGTCCAGATGAAGGAATGTCATCTTTATCATCTCCCTTGCCATGCCTCCTGCAGGCATGAATAACACACAGTTGGCTTCTTTGATGACCCATGCACTCTGAGTCAATATTTGAAGATAGCTGTTGGGCAGTTTTCGTACATGAAAATGTTGTACATTCCAACAGTGTCTCACCCCATTAAACAGTTTATCAACTGTGGATCTCAGTATGTGATCTATGTATTGTATTGGTAAATATTGGTACAGTATTGGTAAATAGAGATATGTATATGGGTAATTGTGGTTTTCCCCCTTTTTTTTCTCCTAGATTTTTAGTGCTGTTTTTAAAAAATATATACAAGTACAACCTTGTTGGGCATTTTAATGTAATTGATATTATGTACTATAATGTATGGGATGGATACCATGTACCATAACGATCAGGACCATGTTGATCGTATGTATTCACTTGTTGCAAGTGATAATGGGGCATTAAAGGTGTTCTAAACCCTCCCCGTTTTTTGTCTATCTACTGCTATCAAGCAGTAGATATAGGCAAACCGTTAAATTTTTTTTAAAAACCGCTAAAACAGTGGTTTAAACTTACCTTTTTTTCTTTGCGCGCTTCCACCCGAGAAAACGAAACTGTTCGGGCGGCCGCAAAGCATCTTGGGGCGGGCGCATGCGCAGTTCGGATTCTCGGCCGGGAGACAAGCAGAGACGCAAGGTAAGTGTATGGAAGCGTGCACCCGCATGCAGACACCACTGGATCGGAGAGCCGCCGCACCGCTGCAGGGACAGATGAAAACATCAGGAAAGAAGAAGATTGGAATAAGAGACATAATTTAAGGTAAGTGCTAACATTAACATGGGGGGGGGGAGAGAAAATGTTTTTTACGTTAATGTCACTTTAATTATTTTAAGTAATTGTTTTAATGATTGCCGGCTTTATGGTTTCCATGTGTCTTCTGTGGGATTTGAATATGGAATTCGCATGAGATATGTTGTCTGATGTCATGCCGTTTTACTTTGCTTGTTCTTCTTTGACATGTAGCTTTCTTGGGTTTGTCTCTCAGTCGGTGCTGGGGGTATGGGACGCTGGCATTGATTGGTTGGCTGTCAGCTGTACCCTGCCTCTGTCACATGGTCATGGGAGCGATGACGTTTGGCTTGAGCCTGCCTGAGAGACGGAGGTGGCCTTTATAGCACGTCCTCCTTCGATCAGCAGGTTCATTATGCCATCGGCTGCCCTTGCTGCATGTATGGAACAAGCTCACAGGTGGAGCTCACAACATTGCGTGCAACTATCTTTGTAGGTTGAGGATGTGGCCGTGTATACCACCATTTTGGCGGGCGATTTTAATGTTGGCAATGTATTGTGCTGTATATCGAACAGTGGATGAATGATCAGTACACTATTCAGCTAATTTTCCCTGCACTGCATTAAATCAGCACTTTCTACTGCTACCACTAATTTCCCACTAATGAGGAGATGGTGATCAGCTGCATCTGATTAAGTGGGTTTGATTTGGGGTCACATGGTGCTCACCCAGTCTATATATTTGTATTTCATTTTAAATTTGCTAGCTCTGAGGAAGGGGGTATATTCCCCAAAACGTGTCAGCCAGCAAGGCAGCTTTGTGTGGGGTCTGCCTTGTACCATTCATTCAGTGATTACCATGTAAGTAATTTATGTCAGCTTGTATGTTCATTGATTTAATAAACTATTACACGAGGACAAGGTGCTGTCTGTTTGATTTGCATGTTTTGTGAGGAATACTTCCCAGTGGCCTTTTGATGACGGCAGCCTGCAACGATTGTTGGCGGAGGATATCATTGGGAGTTTGCTGAGCGCTGTGTTGTGCATTTTTCTTCTAATACAAAGACCTCAGCCGGGTTAGCCCCCCATATCAAAATTTTTGAACAAAACATATGCAGTTGGTTAGATCTTTGTTAGATCAGGTTAGATCTCTGTTGTTTGCGTTAGATCTCACACAGAAATAGAGATATTAACAGTTATTTGCAGGGGGGGCTAACCCGTCATCAGCCCCCCCTTATCAAAAAATTGACCAAACAGTTAGCTATTTTGGAAGATATTTGTTAGATCCGGTATGATCAAGTGGTTTCAACGTTAGATCTCATATAATTACAGAGAAATTTCACATAAAAACACACAGGATGGATGACATCTCACCTGCAGAGAGTAGCAGAGAGAATAAAAGTATTATTTTTATCATGTTTCTTTGTGGCTTAACAAAATAGGAGTCTTTAAATGGTGCGGATATTGGGGACTATGGGTGTGGTTCCGGGGGGGCGGCCACTAAAGGGTGTGGCAACTGAGGGGTGTGGTCACTGAGGGGCGCTGTAAAGCTTTCTCGCACAGGACGCCTAACGGCCTAAGGCCGGCCCTGGAGCCCGTGACCAGGCCTGCCGATAGGGGTGTACAGGCAGCTGCCCTGTACCAGACGTGCCCCATCAAGTGAGCGTGTGAGCGGGGACCGAACCCAGCACAAGCTAGGGGACTCTGCCTCCACACATCCTGTCAGCGCCGATACTAGGGGGCATATAATATTATTCAGCCAGGGTGGATGATACCCCTCTCCCTCTGCAGGCACTGCCAGGGCACCTGAGTGCGCTGGGGAAGGGGGACCTAGAAGGTCGGGCAGAGATTCAGCCGGGAGTAAGACGATACGACCGGAGGACGGAGGAGGCAAGCTGTCAGCAGGTATGAGGAGCTCTCCTGCACTCACAGCTTCTCCTATACACTATACATTCCGGCCGGGAGCCGCGTGGGGAGGGGGAGGGGGGGAGGATTCTTCTCCCTGTCTCATCCTTCCTCCCCTGGCTTCTTGAACTATGAGCGGGCTGCATAGTAATGCTGTGTGTGCATATACTGTATTGTGTGTACTATATTGTGTGTACCGACCCTAGTCATAACTTTTTCTCGACACATTGATACTGGCATGCACCTGAGTACACAGCTAGAGGTTCAAAAAGCTATCCATGTTACCAGCTAGGTCAGCACACAAGGATAGCCCTGTGAGCCAAATGCTCGCAGTTTGGTATCTTCTGCCTCAGTATGTTCGCCTAATGAGTATGTTGTTGGTGGACAGCTTGATTATTTGACAAAATGTAACCTAAATGTCTTTTTATAAGATAATATGTTCAGCCTAACTCAGCAATAGATGCACAACGAGTTAATCCCTTTTTCTTTTGCATCAATTAACCTGGTCACGGATCGGAACACACAAGCAGTTACGCAAACTCCAATAGGGTGACTACAATTAGTCGGATCTCCAGGCAGGAACACAAATTCCCTTTTTTTCTCACAAGGAATGAGATTGAGGCAAGGGCCCTTGATCAGCAACCCAATCTGTCCTTTGCTGGGCACACACCTTACAACCATCGCAAGACTTTTGTCTTGCGATGGTTGTAAGGTACTTAAAAAAACGTACGATCTGCCTATCTTGCATAGGCAGATCGTACTTGCGATGATCGCAAGCCACGCCCCTCAGGGGCTTCCGATGACCGCAATGCCGAAGGGCAATGTGCGCTTGCGCACACCGGCCCTTCCGGCTTTTATCTTACGAACATGCTACACACCCGCCGAACATCCTACGATGGTCGGCGGGTTTTCAAACATGTTTGTAAGTTAAAAGTCGTGCGACCTTACAGTAGTAGAGGTCGCACGGTTTCCACACACCTTACGATAATCGTACAATTGCCGGATTTACCGCGATTATCGTACGATTATTGTAAGGTGTGTGGGCACCCTT